TTTTCTTTTAGTGACAAGAATGATTTTTCATCTTCTTGTAACCTCTCATATTTTCTTCAAACCTAGCACTCTCATATTAAAAGCCTGATTAATGAGTTGCTTAATTAAAAAGGTTACAAAGAGTGAAGCAATTTTGCTAGGGAAGACTACTCAGATTTAGGCAACAAGTAGGGACTAAGGAAGAATACTCAGATTTCTTGATTTGGGTATATTTTAATGTTGACTTTATATATTTACTAGAAGTAAACATTGGTGAGGAAAGATTAATTAAATTTTCAGATTTTTTGTTTGTGATTTAGTGGAATTTTATAATTTTGGCAATTTGAAAAATTGGAATATTGCAAACATTTTGTTTTGGGCTAAAAAAATTTATTAGAGTTAGAGCTCATTGGCAAATTATTATTCTCAAGATTTCATAAATTTTAGAGCTTTGTATAACTTTGTTCAAACTTTTTATGTTTTGGGCATATAAAATTGACTTTTAACATAATTGTGAATTTTTTCTTGTTCTTGGATTGTTCATTCTTTTTTTTTTGTCCAGGAAGAGTTATTTCAAGCCAAAGTTTCATTGGGGAGGCATGTAGTTGCTCAATATTTTATGAGCATTACCCCTCTCATTTATAGTAAATTTTATTTTGTCCGGAGTGCGGAGGGCGTCCGGAAACCAATAAAAATCTTTTGCAGTTACTTTATAATCAATCAAATTCATTTGTATGGTTATCACTTCCACAATTTAAGTTAATTAAATTGGCTTTCTTTCCCTAACACACTTATCAATAGGGCTGCAAACGAACCAAGTCGAGCCGAGTATGTGAGTGTTCATGTTTGTGTTCATTTAATATAAGCTTGTTCAAGTTTGTTTCATGTCTGTTCGAGCTTTATTGTTTGTGTTCATGTTTGATTCATTTAAATTAATGAGTGTTCATGTTCGGTTCATGTTCAATTCATGTTTGTTCGTTTATTGCTTATCGAGCTTGTTCGCGAACAAATTTAACGATTTTTTTCTAACTATCAAACAAACATATTCATGAACATATCTATGAACAAACACATTTATAATAAAAACAATTATCAATGTAACAAAGGCAATGATTATTTATATTTATTAATTTTATAGTCAAATATTATTTTTATCGAGCTTATTCACGAGTTCAAAATCGAACACGAATCGAGCTTCTTATCAAGCTTAATGTCGAGCTTGTTCACGAACTTCAAATGATGTTGTTCGCGAACATAAATGAGCCAAACGCATTAGTGTTCAAGTTTGTTTATTTAAGAATCGAGTATTTAAAATATTGTTCAAGTTTGTTTGTTTAGTTAATTAAACGATCACAAACGAGCTTTAATCA